GATTCTTTTAAAATTGTAAGCAATATACATTTCGATAATTGAATATTAAACATGTTTCTATATTTCTGCATTTAATACTTTTGAGCCGCATGCCACATATATAGCGTGTAGATCCTAATTAGTACGGAGGAATTAGAGGAATTATGTTTGTAATTAGACCGATGATGGACACCCCAGTGGAATATGATATTTTTGAAGTGATTATCAGTAAAATAATACTTAATTTGATCGCTAATTCCAGAAGAAATCATTCTTTCCCATGCCTATTTTCATTCTTCTATCATAAAATGGAGCCAATCGATGATGAATTTTTGCGCAAATGTTTTATTGAACATCTTAGAACTAGTCAAACTGATACACCAAAACTTGAGGACTTCTTGTATTATGTTCAAAATGCCTCGAATAATAGAATTTTGTCTTGCCACAGAACATCGATCCATAAAATGTTCTTTACCCAAATAAGAATTATAGCTTCACTCCGTAAGTTAAAAACCATTAGATTATTAAATTTAGTTAATAAATCGAAATTAATGTTTTATATACATAATAGATGAACAAACGCCCGATATAAGAAAGTTGTATGAAACCATCTCGATCTCTTTCGACAAAAAATATTTAAAAAAAATCGCACAAAATCAGGTAGATATGAAATTTCCCACTGAAAAATTAAATATGATTACGATGTTCTGATAGAATTGAATGCAAGAACTAGGTTACTTAATTATGTTTTCTATGAGATTTATGATAATTTAATAATCTATTTTCAACCTCCAATTGCAATTGTATTTGAATTTGCTATCGAAACTTATTTGAATAACATTTTAGATACTAAATACCTTGGTTCTTATTAAGCATTACTCAATGACTAATTATCATTTAATAAATCTTTAATATATTTATATTAATAGATTCAAAATAGTAAAGTTCAACAATTTTGGACAGACATTACCCGCAGAGAAGAAGATGAAGCTGACAACAATAACGGTGGGTTGATATTGATATTTTATGTTAATTTTATTATTACACTTTTTTACTTATTTTAAAGTATTACAGTTTCAAGCCTCCTTAATTTTGCACATCACAGATTCCGCTGGGAGCTCAATTCATGCGATGATTCGAATCAACTTTATGAGTTTGAAAGAGTTGTTAATGAAATGATCAAAGACCGTCGAAAATCTATTTTGAAATTATCAATCAAGGATCGAAAACAAAAGATATTCGACAAATGGATCGAAATCGAGGTTAGAAAAAAATTTTATTTTAAATACCATAGTTATCTAAAAATTGGGCCTATTGTCGTGATTAATTATTGATGTCAACCCGGGAATTGACATAATCCTGTAATAAAAAACGAATTGGTAGATTTCGCGGCCATTTCTCTGACAACCTATTTCCCAACAACCCATTTCCCAACAATCATTTTCCACCATTTCCTCAACAGTTCATTTTGTCGACAATCCTATTTGCAGACTTTATATTTCTAGCCAACCCTAATTATAAAAATTGTGTTAAAATTGTCGGGAAAATGGTTGTCGGGAAAGTGGGCTGTTGGTGAAATAGATTGTCAGTGAAATAGCCGTCGGCGAAACGATTGTCAGCGAAATGGGGGTTGCGAAACTGGTTCATACCAATAAAAATAGTAAACTTTACTATTTCCGATTTTTTGGATCTTTACATTATGTTACAAGAGATCTTATAGGCTGTAATTACGGGATTTTTCGTTATAATCGTTAATCATTTTCCAATTTTTTTTTTATTTTAGAAAGCTTGTGATCTTTTTCAATTAACATATTTAACCAGCTATAACAAAGAATTTATTGTAAAAGACATTTTCGATCCTTTTTATTGCATGACGATAGATCTTGTAAAAGATTATAACTTATGGAGTTATATACTCGGTCAAAACTTGCAACAAATTAAAGATAAATCGAAAGGGCTCTTTAATTTTATAACGCCTGAAGACATAGTCGAAATTAATTTGGCAGCGAAAAATTACTTCGATAATTTTGATCCCCAAAATATTTCTTTTGAAAGTTCACCAGATCAGGACATTTCAATTGAATATTCACTACCACACATTGATATATCCCTGAAAGGGAGCTATAGCAACAGTACTATAACATCAATTAATGAAATTTTACAATCGTGGTAGGTATAAGTTATAAAAATTTATTTGGCTGAATAATGGATGACTTTGTAATTTATTATTTTAGGATAATCGCATGGCAAAAAAATGAAAGCTACAACGAAAAAGATTACACACATCACATCTATTCATCATATCACCTTTAGAAAGACTTCTCGCGGGGTTATTAAATTACGTTACATTACATGGGTAGATATTTAATAGTAGAACCTTTTACTAATATAGTTTTTTGAGATTTGGCATATTTCGCAACAACCATTTCGCCGACAACTGTTCACCGGCGGACAGTTCATTTCGCCGACAATCTTATTTTGTAGACTTAATATTTCCAGTCAACACTGACTATAAAGCGTGCATCCCCTAACCCAAAATTAGCCAAAATTGTCGGCGAAATGAACTGTCGCGGAAAGGGGGCTGTCAGAGCAATGGTTGTCGGGAAAGTGGGCTGTCTGTGAAATAGATTGGCCGTCGGCGAAATGGTTATCGGCGAAATTTGTTTATAACAATTTTTTGAAATATTAATGTTTTTAATGTTAAATGTATAGTCCGGAGCACCCGACATATTGTTCGTATGAACGTAAAAGTCATTTTTTCGAATCTCCGTTTGAGGATAGAGAAATATTTGATCCTCAAATTTTCAATCAGTATTCACTTGAAAGCGGACAATCCAGTTCTGAATTAAATATAAATGATGAAATACAAGACACGATCATCATTAACAATCAAAAGCCGAAGGCCTATAAACGTTACTCTAAAAATGGAATGTCAACTGTGGTTGTGAAGGATTTAAAAACACCTGAAAAATATGAGAAGGGAGTTATTACGTCTAAAAAAAAATATCGCAAAAAAGTGGATGTAGCTATTTCTTACAGAGTTATTAAAGGAACCAATGAAATTGGAGAACAATTTGGATATTTCTACCCTTTATTAGGAGAAGTGAAACTTCCGGGTATCAATGGCGAAGACGATTATAAAAAAAATGTCCGTGCCCTGAATGATAATTTTAACACAATTATCAAACATTATTCAAAAAAGGCAACTAGAATTTCAAACAAATTGCAGTCCCTATTTGATGATATTAAACTTGGTGGAATACATGCATCAGGTAATTAATTTACATATTCGCCCTATAAATTTTTTTAATTTTTTTTTAACTAATAAAATTCTTCATGTAGATGGAGAAATTTATTTTCTCCAATATACAAGGTTCATAGACAATAAATTTAGCGTACTGTCTTCCGTTACTGCAGCTAAAATTCTGAAGATCCGGAAATGGGTCAAATGATTAATCTTTTGTATTGCATCAAAGTGAGTTCAGCTTATTCATAAACATTTAAATTTTATGTAATTTATTAATACATTCTTATATAATTTTAAAGCAAGCGGTACGCAAATTTATTAAGGACATGAAAGATATCGAAAAAGAAATTGAAAAAATTAATCAAAGTTCAGATGAGTTTATTGAGGAGTCTGATAAACCAGGAAAATTTTTAAAAAATAACATTCTAAGTATTCCCTCCTCACCAAAATGAAAGGTGAATTGATGGGGTTAGGGTACTATTTTAGGATAGTTAGATGAGATGGAGATCTGCATAATATCATTCTAACTGTTGTCACCGATCATAAGATGTATTTCGTTTCTTATCAAAAGTTTAACTTCCTTAACAAATTGAAAATTGTTAACCATTTTTTTCAATATAATTCTTTAAATTCTTTTAGCATTGAGTTTAACATTTAATAAAGAATTTAATTTTATTATTGCTTTAATATTAGCTATTTTAAGTATTAGCTACTAGGAATTAAGAATCAGTGTTAGAGCTGGACACTGAACCTTTTTTTGCCAAATCCGAAGGTTTCGGGTTTTGATTATAGCTTAACTGTACCCAAAATTAAATCTTATCCGAAACTGTCATAATTAAAATTTCTATTTAATAAATTTTAATTTCATTATAACTTA